TGCAGCTACCTGTGAGGCCAGCTGCCTGATGAGGTGAAAAATGAGGAAGGTGGAGTTTTGTGGGGAAAAGAAAGGAGGAAGCATCATAGCCTGACTCAGGAAAGCCACCCACTCTGTGGCTTTGCTTCACATTTCCTTCAAGTGGGAGAGCTAGCTGGCCAAAAGTTCATCTGAAATACCACCATTCTTATCTGCAGGCTTGTTCTCCCAAGACTGCTCCTACTTCAGGTGCCAGCCACAGTGGGGTCCCCATGCTACCTGCTTTTCGGCCTGGCTGACTACAAATTCAGGGGTTACCATGACTCTCCCCCATTCCCAGGTTAGTTATTCACTAGAATGATTCACAGAGTTCAGGAAAGTACTCTATTTACTACTACAGTTTTAATATGAAGGATACAACTTAGGAGTAACCGAATGGAAGAGAAGCATAGGGCAAGATATGGGGGTGCCTGCAGAGCTACCATGTCCCTTTCTGGGTGCACCCCCCTTCCAGAACCTTGATGTGTTCACCAACCTGGAAGCACCATCAAACCTTATTTTTAAGAGTTTTTAAAGTTAAGGTTTCATTACCTTGGTATTGTTATTGACCATTGGTGATTGAACTCAATCTCCAAGCATAGGGCAAGATATGGGGGTGCCTGCAGAGCTACCATGTCCCTTTCTGGGTGCACCCCGCTTCCAGAACCTTGATGTGTTCACCAACCTGGAAGCACCATCAAACCTTATTTATAAGAGTTTTTAAAGTTAAGGTTTCATTACCTTGGTATTGTTATTGACCATTGGTGATTGAACTCAATCTCTAGCCCTCTTATCTCCTGAGAGGCTGGGGGTGGGGCTGCTTGACCAGCCCCTCCCTTGAAACTATCTAAGGGCCCACCTGAGTCACTTCATTAGCATGAATTCAGCTATGGTGAAAAGAGGCTTATTATGAATAACAAAAGACACTACTATCACTCAGGATATTCCTAGGTTCTTCCGATCTCTGTGCCAGGAAGTGGGGACTAGGACCAAATATATTTTTTTTGATACCTCAAACTTGTTGAATTTTGTCTGCAGGTAAAGACTGAAGCCAGCAATCTAGCAGACAGTTGGGTATACAAGCTGAAAGCTTGGGATAAAATCCCAGTGTCTTTCTAATTTAGTGTTCTTTATCTGTACCACCTTGCCTGAGTTTTTGGTATATTCAAAGTGATTCACACTATTACATTCTTGAAATATAAAGTTACTCAATTGTAGGTTTGGCAGAGCCAAATTCAAGGGTGGATCAACAAGGGAAGTCCTTGGGGTGCCAACCTACAGGGGGTGCTAAACCATCACAGGAACTGTAACTATTTAGAAAAACATATATGTACCAGCACTTTTCCCAAAGAAGGTCCTGATCATGTTGGGGAGAAATATAATAATAAACTGCTTGGAGTAAGGGTGAGATGCCAGCTCCTCCAAACCCCATCACTAACAGGCATGTGAGAATAACTTTAAATCATTGCTATACTGCATTCACAAGGCCTCATTTCTCCTCTGCCTTTGCCTTTTGCATTTATTTAGAAGAGCTCAACCCCTCCTCTAAATAAATGTAGAACAAATATTTAAAGAATATCCATTTGGAGGCATGTGCAATTATAAGCCTGCCTGGACACCTGCAGTCTAAGTTGATTGATCTGAAGACCTCAGGGCTCCATCTACCATATTCTGGGATGTCTAATTGTCCCCCCTCCCTTAGTCTGATGCCCATCCATAGCAGCAGCTCTGCATTCCACCTATATGCTGTGAGGGATAGGCGATGAGCATGTGTATGTGTGTATAAAAATCTTGGTCTGTAATCCCATGCTAATTTCCTTCAGATTAATTATGGGGGAGTCAGCCAATTAGAGACAAATTAATTACAGATTAATTTTGTTTGCTTTTGCATTACCCTAAAGTGGATATAAAACGTGTAACTTGGGACACATTATCTTGCTGAGATCCTTTTGAGACTTGCTTTTATAGCTAGGAATGACGTGTGGTTAGCATAGGTTATTTTACAAAATGCCTTTCTCATTCAGTGCAGTGTATCCCCTATTCCTTAGAAATGAATACTTTGATGGTTAAAGCTGCTATATATTTACTCAGTCCTTCATTAATTGATTGTTGGGGATTCCTTTTTCCTTCTTAAAAAATTCTTGCTACATTTTTGATTAACTTATGTGTATATTTTGTGTTGCTTTGTGTTGCTTTGCCCCCCCCCATGGATTTGTCACCCCACTTCCCCTAGGTGATGGAGACGCAAAGGATTACTCAAAGCCCATCTCTTCTGAGCAGTGAGAAGCCCCAAAGTGGTTTACTTCCCTGGGACCCTCCAGCAAGAGGCAACACTTCCTCGCGAAATTAACCCTGAATTGGGGTTCTCTTGCATTTATTTTCCGGACCAGGAAGAGACACAGGTCGGGGTTATAGTTTAACAATATAGGCTGGTAAGTTTCAGTGAAACAAGTCAGATGACATTCCATTAGACAATTAAGTGATCTTACAGCAATTTCTCACTGTCTTTACATAACAATCAGTAACTAGTCTGTCTTTGAGCCAGCAACCTTGCTGTGCCACAATTCTTATCTTGCAACAGAGACTCACTAGCCTGGGGAAAATTTCCTGTCCTTGCAAGGTCAATATTTGAAACTGCAAGGCTTTGGAAAACCAGGCCCTGTGAAGTACATATGCTTTATGTATATTCCACAATTTTGAATAGGCAATATGTTCCTACAAGTCAAAATTTGAATGGTACTAAAGGGTACATAGTGACAAATTTCCCTTTCATTCCCAGCTGCTATCAAAGAGAAATTGCATTGTACACTTGTTAAAAATAGCAAGACAGATTTTGTTGTCAGGCTACTGCAGTAGGGGGGAGAGACTTTAGTACATAACTGAGCTCAACTCTGGATACAGCAAGGGTAGCTGAAGATTTACAGCCATTGGACAGGGTAAGGGGATCAGTGGGTGGTAATTACTATGAGGAAATTGATTACATACCAAGGATGGGGGAAGAGGAATTTGATTTGATGCCAGGGGTGGGACGATTCTCCCTAAACTGATTTGCTAAAATTAGGCTTGTCAGACCAAGGATGAGGCCTAGTCAAGAAGAGGTCTCAGAGGAGCCTGACTAGTTGAGTCAAGGATGGAGTCCTTGTCACCACCTTTCTGGGGCAACTACTATTACTGTATTTGTTGTGTCTTAATAACATTAGACATTTTCTTTATATTAAATTATGTTTAGAAAAGTCTCATTTCAACCAGGCATGATACAGACTTACTATCTGTTCAGGGAAACTTTGGTCCTGGAAAATACTACGCTATTTAGCAGATTCATTTGGGGCCTCAATTTTCTAGGGTGTAGAATGGGGTTGATGGGACCTCCCTCAGAGATGTAAAGATTATCTGATGTGTGGCGTAAGGACTGAGCAGTGCCTGGCACACGGCAGGCATTTAGTGATTGAGATCACCCTTCCTCTCTTGCCTTATTACCATGTGGACTTCAAATCTAGGTGGCCCAGCAGTCACTGGGGCTTGTGCTTGATGGGTATCTGTGTTCCCTGCTCTTCTGCTGAGAGGCTGCATGTGAGTTGGTGGCATCCACATGCTCTGTGCCGCTGCCCCATGCTGCAGGCTGGCAGCAAGGTCAGTGGCATGTGTTTTCAAAAGTGTATGTTCACAACCTCATCCTGTCACTGTTCCCACTCCCACACTTTAAAAAGTAATTTTGCCTTGTGCCACATGACATTGCTAATTGTGCTTCCCTATGTGCCTAAACACTCTGATTTTTCTGGAAGTCATCAGGGTGAAACATTACCTGAATTATATGGAGAGCACAGTCACTAGTGTTGAGGTGGGGGTTGTTGCTCTGTGAAGGACATGTTCTCTTTCAGATTCCTCTTTGCTTAGCAGTGCAGGTAGAGATAGCCCCTTCTCTTGTGCTGGGAAGAAGGGCTGGGCTCTAGAGTCCGACAGAGCTTCATTTAAATCCCAGCTTCCCGGCCTTCAGCTTCTCCAAGCACCAGTTTCCCTGCGTGATGTGAGGAACGGGATGAGTGGACCTTATACACAGGAGAGAGCAGTTCACTACTTTCACTGTTTTTATTAGGTCTGGATTATCCCAGGTGCAGATGAAGGCTCTTAAAGAAAGCTGGTTCCCTTTCCTTTGCTCCTAGGTTGGATGTTCTCAAAATGTGGTCCCTGGATCAGCAGCATCAGAATCACCTGAGAGCTTGTCAGAGATTCAAATAATAAACACTAAGGCAGAGCCCAGCAATCTGTGTTTTAACAAGCCCTCCAGGTGATTCTGACACACACTCTTGTTAGAGTACCAATGCATCAGGCCACAGGCAGAGAAGGCTCTTGACTTCAGTATTTTCAGACACTCATTTGGGTTAGTGGAGGATTCCTATTCCTATTTGGGGATGGTAGGGGCCAGTGTCTGGCTTGAGTGTTCTGGGTATGCCAGCCTCAGAAGGTGCAACAGAAGACTGGGAGAGGCACTATCCTGCTTCCAGCTCGGCTACACAATCTGGCAGAGGTTGGCAGGGGCTTCTCCACTGATGTCTCGGTTTACCTCCAGGGTTTAACTCGGGTTATCAGCCTGAGCACTATTTCAGGTTGGATATCCTTTATCGTGGGAGGGTGTCCTGTGCATTGTAGGAGCATTCCTGATCTCTGCCTACTAGCTGCCAATAGCAGCACACTCCTGGGTCTCTAGAATTGTCAAATGTTCCCTAGGGGGCAAAATCCCATCACAACCCCCTTTGAAAACTGCTGGTCTTACTTGCATGACCACTAGAGTGGAGGTGGTCAGTGGGAGATTCTCTCATCAGGAGAACCTGCAGTGAAGGAGTGAGTGGTGTAACTGGAAGGAAGGCGGGGTGCGGAACAATAACTCTGAATCTTGACACTTCCAATTACTAGCCATGTGACCTTTCCCTACCCCCTTATTCACTCCTAGTCTCTCCTAATGAAAAAATCACACACATGCAAACTTCATTTTCATAAATGACTTTTACTTCTTTATCATTTCTCTTGACAGTGATTCTCGGCAATGTGCATATAACATGAAGGCAGGCGTAACTTTCAGAAGTCATCAAAGGTATTGTCCTATTGTCCTCATTTTCTTAAACCATTAAAATATTTTCATTTATAAAAATTAATCTAAATATAAATATTGACACTAAAGATCAAAATCACTTGATGACAAAATAATTCTTCTGGAACTATAACATATGCTTATGGTTTTTAATAGTAAATTAAATCTTTGCACTTATTTGGCACAAGGAAACCTTTATAAAAATTCAAATGCCATAGAGCAGGCTTCATCTTCTTTTTTTTTTTTTTTTTTTGCAAGGCTTACACAATACACGTTTTTGTCAAAGAAAACAGTATTTTAACACTGTAACACAACAATAGTTGCTTTTCATGCCTCTTAAAGAAAACGTTCTATTTGGAAGTCAGATCTTTTTTTGTTGTGTTTTTGAAATTTGTCTTTGTTTTGCTTTGAATCACACCAACAGAACAAAAAGCCAAAGATTTACTTATTTGAAAGGAGTCATTTCTGTTGGATAACACACACACACAGCATCAGCAAGGAGTATTATTGGAAGATATGTAGACCCCCACCAGGAGTGGATCATAACACTATAACAGCAGCAAATCAGGTCTGGAAATGCAGATAGTAGCTAAAGAACACAGAGTTTGAAAACAACACAGAGTGAGGCTTTTGTAAAGCATTCCAATTATAATTAGCTTAAAGGTGTGGCTTTGGCATAATCTCTCTGGCCCTCAGTTATCAAGTCTGAAAAATGGGGATTCCTACTGAACAGGGTTGCTGTAAGTATTACAGTGAGAAGAGCATTGCCTCCTTCAGAGCAGGCACTTAAACATTAATCACATTATTTCCTTGCCTCTCCTCTTTAGCCTTCTTCCTCAGATTCAAAATATATCAGAAGCAAACATAAAAAACGGGTTGCTAATGCCCAATTAATTGAGTGAGATTCCAGTTCCGTTTGCTTTTCTAAACACACTCTAAATGGTCATGCATTTGAGACGGGTCCAAACAGACCACAAACATGGAGTCAGTGTCAACTCTTGTGTCCATTAAATTCATTCAGTTTGTCCTTGCTTTTTCATATCTGTAAATTTTCTAAGGCTATCTCCTCATCATGTTTATCTTTAACGTCATTTTTCTACTTTGCTGAATATTTATTGGGAAATAAATTTGGCAGGACAAAAAGTTTCTCATGTGGTTTTATATTCTGCAAGAATCCATTTACCTAAACATCATCTAGACACAGTCATTGCTCAACCACATCATGTGATTCTGGTTCTGGACAGTGCCCTAAAGTTGAGCCAGTGGTGGTCTTTCTCAAGCCCTTCTCCCCTTTGAAGTGGAGAAAGGCTCAGTAAGTCCACAGAAGAGCCCTATAATGAGACACTGTTTGGGGTAGACTCAGGCATGGCATGGGTGTCAGGGCTTTCCATTCTGTGGCCTGTGGTTGCAAAGCAGTAGGAATGATTGTTAGTATAGTGGGCTAGGAGCTCAGCAAGAGGAAGGTGGCTAAAGAGAGACCTGCATCCTTGATGGTTGAACAATCCTGAAATTAGACTGTCCCTAGTGCTCACTACAGGGGCTTGCTTTTTGTAAGACATTAGCATTTATAAGACAAAGATGCTTGTGAGAGATTAATAAGCATTGATGATGAATTAAATGATAATCCTCACCTCCCTTTCCTCCACCCCCCTCCAACAATTCTCCTTTAGACAAATTGTTGACATGGAATTCTAGTTTCATCAAAGGGATCAAAAAAAAATTTTTTTAAAGACAACACACAGTAGCAAAGTGAACAGGGAAAAGATGCATCTTTTGAACATGGAGCTCTGCTGTTGGAAGCCAGCGTCTTGATTTTCTGTCTTGGATTCCCCTGGGAGCCTGAGCAGAGAGTGGGCAAGATTGCAATGAAGTCTGAGACTGCTTCTGGGTGAGGTATCAGGACAGCCCTGTGCAATGGTGCACTGTAGCCTCCCCAGCCCTCTCCTCAGGTGGAAATCCATACAGTACTTGATGGCTGTTGGGTCAAGGCACTGTCGTGTACGGCTGGAGGCAGTGGGTCACTGGCAGTAGAGTTCCATGGCGTTAATACATCACAGCGGACTCCAGAGTGGGCTCCTGAGGTGAGAGATTGAGCACACTGTCATCAGCCACTTGCTCATTGACCAGTCAAATGTTTCACATCATTTAAAAAGTGATGCCATTTTTTACATGTACTTCTTTTTTTTTTTTTTTTCCCCTTTTTGTCTTTTTTCGTGACCGGCAACAGATCGCAACCCTCAGTGTCGTGCCCGGACCGGACCGGGACCGGCAACGGGATCGCAACCCTCGGTGTTGTGTCCGCACCTCGCTCAGCCAGTGAGCGGCCGGTCTGTATGTGGGATCCAAACCCTTGGCAGGAGCGTCGCCACGCTCCCAAGCGGCACACTGTAGCAGTGCGCCACCGGGCCGGCCCTTACATGTACTTCTTAATCCACCTGAAATTTATTTTGGTAGATGGAATAAAGTAATTATTTAACTTGATTTCTTTCCTACTACCACCTCCATGGCCAATTTTCCAAGCACAGTTTTGTTGTTGTTGTTTTAATAATCCATACCTACCCTACTGGTTTCTAATACCTTTAAACTGATCACATAACACACTCTTATCTATTTCTAAGCTTTCTGTTCTAGTCCATTAATTATCAGTTTCTTTACGGCTTTTAATTTGTTTAAAAATTTGGCAGAAAAATCAAGTAATTTTATAAAATGCTTTTTTTAATACTTTCTGATTTATTATTATATGAACTTTAGTCAAAGTAAATCTCTCAGATTTTTATGAGAATTGGATTAAACTATAAATTAATTTAGAAAGAAATGACTTTTGTTATTGAACCATTGATGTGATTTATTAATCAATATCATAGTTAATATTAAAGATATCCTTGCATTCCCTCAAAATCTACCTTGTAATTTATTATTTAATGCACTATGGTGTTTAATTTTCTAGTATTTTATTTAGTAGGCTTCATCTCTCTGCAGAAATACCATTGGTGTGTGACTGGTGTGTGACTTGTGTGTGTCTGTGTGTGCCTGTGTGTGAGTGAGCATAGAGATCACGTACATACTGACCAGCCACATAAGGCTTTGATAATTGGGGTTATGATAACTTCAAAACATGAATTCTTAGTTTTTAATTTTTTATGCTCTGGGATATTTTATATAGCATGGGAATTAATTGTTAAAAATTTATCAGCAAAACCATTTGACCACAGAATCTTTTTTTATTTTTTTATTTTTTGCAGCTGGACAGTATACAGATCAAACCCTGGACCTTGGTGTTATAGGCACCACACTCTAACCAACTGAGCTACCCAACCAGCCCTTTGAAGGTTTAATAGATTTTTAAATTTCTTTTTATTTCTTAAGTCAGTTTTTACCAATATTCTGATTTTAAAATTTATTAGAATAGTTTTATATCACATAGTATATTTATATAAAAATTTTACATCCTACTGTTATCTTTATCATATTTTTTTCATATGACTTATAAAATTTTTCTATTTTTTTTCCTCAAATAGCTCAGATTTATGATCATTTATATAGTTTTCTGGTTTTAATTAATTGGTTTCTGCATTTATATTTGATGTCTGGAATTCAATGTCCACTTCATTCGTTTTACATTTTTCTTTTTTAATAAGGAAGAATATATTTAATACTATGAATTCGACTCAATATAGTTTTATATGTGTCCTATTCATTTTGATATATGTAATGTTTTCATTTTCTAAGTGCTCTGTGGATTTGCTTTTCTCTTTAATTATTTCTTTAATTTTTTTAAATTTATTTTTTTCATTGTACATGTTTATGGGGTAGAGTTTGTTATTTCAATACATGCATATATTGTATAATCTAATCAGAATAGTTGGTATATCTATCACCTAAACATTTATCATTTCTTTGTGGTTATAACATTCAAGGTACTCTTTTCCGGCCACCTTGAAATAGACAATTTAATATTATTACCTATTGTCACCCTAAGGAACCAGAACTTATTCTTCCTGTCTTACGGTAACTTTGTAACTTTGTACTTGTCTACCAACCTTTCCCCAGCCTCACCTCCCCCCTCCCTTTTTTTTTCTCTGCCTCAGGTAACCACTGTTTTACTCTCTATTTCTCTTTTTTTTCCCTCTTTTAAATTTATTTTTCTTAATTGACCCATGATAATTGTATATATTCATGGAGTACAATATTATATATTTGGGTACATTCATACTGTGTGCAATGATCATATCAGGGTGCTCGGTATATCCATCACCTCAAGCATTTGTCAATTCTTTGTGTTAGCAACATTCAACAGCATCTCACTAGCTACTCAAAGATACATGGTACTTTGTTGTTAAGTGTAGTCTCATATTACTATAGAATACTAGATCCATTCTTCCTGTCTCTTCTACTATTTTGTAACCACTGACCTCCCTCTCCATCTCTCCCCTTCCCCCCACCAGTCTCTAGTAATCACTATTCTACTCACTACTTCTGTGAGATCAGCTTATTTAGCTTGCACATATGAGTGAGAACATGTGGTGTTTCTCTCTCTATGCCTGAATTATTTCACTTAACATATTTTTCCTCCAAACTCATCCATGTTGCTGCAAATGGCAGAATTTCATTTTTTTTTATGGCTGTGCTTTTCTCTTTAACTCAATAGTTACTTCAAAGTGTGTGTGTGAGAGTGTGCATGTGTATGTGGATGCACAGCTGTGTATGTGGGTACATATGCTTTTTAACATCCAAGTAGGGTTTCTGTTTGTTTTAACTTTTGTTCTAATTTCCTAGATTTGCCCTGTCCAATCTGTTAGTAACTAGCCACACGTGGCTATTTATACTTAAATGTATGATAATTAACTAAAATTTAGAAATCCTTCAATGCAGTAGTCACATTTCAACTGCTCAGTAGCCATGTGGCAAGTTGCTACCATACTGGGCACTGCAGATATAGCATGTTTCCAGCATTACAGAGAGTTCTATGAGACAGCATTGCTCTAAGAATGTGTTTGGAACCGTGGTCATAGAAGGCAGTTTTACATTTTCTATTTTTTGGAATTTACTGAGGTTTTCTTTGTGAACTGGTATAAAACCAATTTTTATAAATGGTCCATTGGTACTTGGAAAGAAAGTGAATAATCTGAAAACTATAAAGTTAGACATATTAATTAAGCTTAATAATTACACTATCCAATTCTCTAATTTGTATGTATTTCTGGTGTACTTGGGCTGCCAAAGGCTGATAAGGGAGTTTTAAAATCATCAACCATTGCACAATAAAGTGTATCGTTCTATTGTTTGCCAAATCAAGAAAGCCTCATTATTTAACCTACTTTATTTTAGCAAAATTAAAACATCCTTCCTCATTTTCTCTGAATGCTTCTTGTCTTGAATTCTACTTTGTTTGAAAACAATATTTCTGCCCCTTCTTTTTTGTTTTTTATTTGTTTTGTAAATATTGTCCATTCTTTCAATAACCTCTCTGTGTTACTTAAAGGTAATTTATTTTTATTTCATTTAAAAAATAATTTACTGAGGTGAAGTCCACATAACATAAAACTAACCATTTTCAAGTGAACAATTCAGTGGCAGTTAGTACATTCACAAGGTTGTGCAAACACCACCTCTATCTAGTTGCAATATGTTTCCATCAATCCAAAGAAAAACCCCTTACCCGTTAAGCAGTTTCTTCCTAGACCTCCTCTCCACAGCCCTTGGCAACCACTAATCTATGTTCTGTCTCTATGAAAGGTAATTATTTTTAACCATCTTACATATTACCAATTCCTTCCCTGACCTTAGTGGTCTGCCTTTTCAGTGTGTTAAAACATCTTTTTAGCTCTTTGAAGTAACAGCCAGGAGCAAGGTGACTGAACATTGAAAGGTCAGGAGTACCGGCTAACCAGCGAAGGAAAGGCAAGGAGTAGCCCTCTTGTCATATGGTGCCTAAGAGAGTAATCTGCCATTCAAAAGGACATACCCACTACTATGCCATTATCTGGTGCTTCTGTGCTTGTGAGACAGTGACAACGAGTGGATGGAGTGGGGGAGGGACAGGTGATGCATAAAAGGCCACAGAATAAGTTTGCCCTTGCTTCAGTCTTGACATCCCAGACGTGGTCTACCCTCAGCATAATTGGTTTCACTGAGACAGTTTAGTTGGATCGTTTCCTATGTAAGCAGCATGAAGCATTTGCTCAAATTCAGATGCATATGTTGGTTTTTAAGCAAACGATCTGTTAGCTCTCTCTATATGATCTCTAGAGTTTGTGCAAATTATCTAGTGTCCGTTCCTTTGCCACGTTTAGGAGCAGCTGCTGACTTTTTTCAGGAACACAGTATCAATGGCTAACAAGAAATTTAAGGAAGAGTGAATATGGACCGAAAACAGAATATAAGCTCTTACACCTCAACCAGGCCTTACACTCCTGTGTACGTATTTTTATTTCTCTTATATCAAACCAGTTTCCTGCAAGGAGCTGCAGATACAGTAGAGAGGATTCACCCATACATTAGAGAGGCTGGCAATACCAGGCAGGATGTTATTCACCTCTCTTAGACCTCCCCCCACCCTCAAATCCAACGGACCATGAAACCAAGCAGGAAACGTGCTTCCTGGAGCACTGATGGAGCGACAGAAGGAAAGGACCAGATGAAGGTACCATCAAAAGTGAAAGTGATGGGCACTAAGACAGAGATGACATTTACCATCAAATCCTTGGTGCTTTTCCTTTCTTTAGTTCGGTTTGTTGAGGAGCCTTGGAGAATGAAGTTGTGATTAAATGTTTTAATGGTGGTCACTGAAGATGCCTCCATTTTTTCAGCTAAAAGGAAATAAATGGGAATAACTGTTACCCAGAACATGGACAATTGTTAAGGAAGAAAGACCAGGTGGCCAAATTACCCAGATTTTTGTTTTAGGCTTGGCATCTCATTCCTGTCTGACTGTGGAATCTTTTTTGTGTTTATTTTTATGATGAACCAAATAAGTCAAGGTGTCGTTGGTGGCTTTCTGGGAAAAGGTAGCTCAGAGATAATTCAATACAGTTCATACATTCTTATTTGTAACCCTGAAATATAAAAGGCTCTAACACCTGCAAATTTTTATAACTTTGGAGCCATAATCATCTGATTGCAAAACCTGGCTTGAACTGACATGTGGCCATTTAAAGTCCTTGTCCATCTCACCAAGTGCAAACATCCTCATGCTTTGCTGCAAGGAAACTAATGTGTTAATTATGAGATGCTGCCCAGATGCCACAGGGAGTATTAAGAAATATACATATATTATCTTTCTAATGCCCCCAAATTATGAAACACATATGCATCCAAGGATTTAAGTAAATAAGTGTAGACCTGTGATACATTTAACTGTATGGGGTTTTGTAGAATATAAAATAAGCATTCAATAAATGTTTGGTGTATGTAAAATCATGACAGTAAAAAAAAAAACCAAAAATGTTTATTGAGTGATAAATGGCAGAACCAAAGCTCAAAAACCACTTCTTCTGACTTTCTACTCTAATTTGTACATCTAAATTTCTAGTTTGGCATCATTTATGTGGCTCCTGAATCCAGGGATGTTGTTAAAAATGTCAGGTAAAGGTGACATGACTAGCATCACTGGAGTCCCTTCTAGGTTGGGCACTGTGGCAGATGCTTTTGGTGTCCTGTCCACTTCTCTTGGACAGTCTCCATTCCATCACTGTCCAACAGCATCTTACTGTGAGCACTGCCACTCTGTCTTGGCTCATGCATGGAGCAGGTCATAAGTAACCCTTAGCCAGTGATGGATGGGAGCTGAAGGACAAATAAATACCCCATCTTCCTAATCTGTGGGCAGGAAACTCTGAGGTGCAGACAACACTGTCTCCCAGAAGTCTCCAGGAGGATTTAGCCTCATTTACCCAAAGAAGTAACCTACTAATTAAAGTACATTGTACTGGCTTAATATCCTTCCCTGAGACATTTCTCTCCTCTCCTACCTTGCACTCCCATCCTTGTCCCTGGGTTTTCTTCTAGGGGGACCCACGTCAAGACAGACAAGAGCAATTCTGGGTGAGAACTTTCCATTATATCTGGGCCTCAAACTCAGATCTCTGAGTTACTCAAAGTAAGTGATTCAGGCTTAATTTTCTGGGAACTTTGTGGTTTTCATCGAAGCATACCTTTCACTGGTGGGGCAGGGAGTTTTCTCCTCTGCTGCCTTGATGTGTCTATGGTTTGTACCTATAAACAGAACACAGTGACCAATATATCTTTGCAAAGCCAAAGACGTTTTATCTCTTCTAAGTTTTCCAGGTCATACAACATTCCAACAGAGGGAGTGAGGGACAAACACACCTGATTTCTTTGCTTCTGATCCCGTTTTCTTGCAAGGCGCCCACAGGGCGCTATGTTTAATCCTGCAATGGTCAGGGCTGAAATCCGGCTCTCGATGTCAGAAATCTGAATGCAACAGAAAAACAGGATCAGCAGGGAGGAAATATGAAAAAGGAGAATCTGTGTTAAAAGTGTCAGGAGTTTATAAAGAACAAATCTGCTTTGATATATGCTCATTCATTCATTCATTCATTCATTCAACTTCTACCAAGCACTTCTCTATCTAATGCTGCAGTGAGAAGATAAAACACAGGCCTTTCTCTATAAACTTGAATTTCTAGTTTGGTAGCTCTAGAGCATGTCAACAACCATGTCAGAGTGCACCTTTGGATACGTGGAAGCCCAGGGCACTGTGGGAACCCTGGCCCAGGGCCACCTGGCTCAGCATGGGGGTAGGGGGATCAGAGAAGGCTCTCACAGGAGGCAGCAGTTGAATTGAGCTTTGAAGGGCAAGTATAATTTATATGTCCTGCTTCCTTCTTCTATGACTCCAAAATGACAGTAAATAAATGACATAAATCCAAAATGACAGCACCAAGGTTTAGGAGGGAGGCCCAGCAGCCACCGGTTGAAGTCCATCTCCTCCATTAAGAGGCCAAGTGGCCTTGAGAAACTCCCTTCCCTCTCTGGGCATCAGTACCCTCATCTATAGGAAGTTCAGATAGTCAGATTTCCTTCCAAGAGTCTGAAGGCAGATATAGGGAGCAAGAGCCTAGTTAGAGCCCTGGTCTCCGCTGTCCCTAGGGATGAAGACATAGTCCCTGCTCTTAGACCAGGGCATTACCATGTGCCAGGAACCATGCTAAGTGCTTTAAATGTGAGAACTCACTGATGCCTCAAAACAATCCTGTGAAGTAGGTACCACTCTCTTGTCTCATAGATGGAGAAACTGGCTCAAAGGGAGAAGTGATATACGCAGATGGTCTGGGGCAGAGCTTGGAATTAATGCCAGTGGCCATGCTCTTGCCACATCACTACATTTTCAGAGGACTTGCCAAGGCCTGGCATGGGGGACACTGGAAGAGGCAGGATAAGGGTAGTAGAACCGGGGGTGGTGGTGGGGGTGCGCAGGGTCACAGCCATCCTGCTGAGGTACAGCCTGAGTGTTGCTGAGGCATCTAACGTGTTACCTGAAGGCGGGTCCAGCAGCCAATATGCGTGTGCTCCACCCCCAAGCTCTCCATTGCCTTCCTTATCCCTAGGCACTTTTGTGCTGATCAAGACAAATTCTAATTCTGCTGTCACTTACTGAGGCCTTCTTTGGACAGTCTACTGGGATAGGTGCTATAGGAGGTGCAGAGAGAAGGGTTGAAGGGTCAGCAAATGCAGGAGATGCTTCCCCTACCCCTGAGAGGGGGCAGCCTTGGTCCAAAAAGGGGGAGGAGGTAGGTGAAGGCCAAGTCTGTGACGACAGCTGGTGAAAGAGTGTGAGTCAGCTGCCCCGCTGCCAGCATCCAGAAGGAGCCATGGTGTAGCCTCCCTGTCCTCACTCTTCAAATTTCACATTGAGAGCTGAATTCCTTTGGCTTACAGACCAATAAATTGCACCCACCTCTGAGAAAAGTTGCTGGCTAAGCTTTTATTAGTCATTTGTAACTGGTGTGGACTAGATGCCCACATTCCTCCCTGGAAGCAGTTTTAATGGAGGGCCTTGCTCAGAGGGACCTGGGAGACAAAGTCAATGGACAAGCAAGCCACCGACCTCCTGATTTGCTGCCTGCCAGGTTCTGGAATAAGAAGGGGTTAATTTTTAAAGTTTTAGTCCGTAGGACAAAGGACAAAGAAAGAGGAATGGAGACTCCTGAGGGCTGATTTTGTCCGCATTTTGTTATCTATCTGTATAATTATATCCTACTTCATTCCTAAGACTGCATGCCCAGTGACGCATACACTTGCTAGAAAGGAGGACCAATTCAACTCTGAGTTTCCTGAGAGCCAAAGCAAAGAGCTCAGTGTAGGACTCTATGTCTACAAGATAAAGACCAAGTACTCAGAAGAACAGCTTTTCCTGATACTAAGAGTTAAGAGAGACTTTCCCTGAAATGCTTATAGAGACAACCTTGTGCACTGCAGTGGATGGCACCCTCAGCATACTCCTCATGGGCAGTCCTGCAATCTCCTTCAGCCCTGAGCAATGGCATCCTGTCCCGAGGGTAAACTCTTAAATTGATAACATCCCTAGAATCTGGCCTAATCCAGGAACACAGTTTGGCACATCTACCCTCCTCAGTAGATACCCTCCTACCATCCTGCAGGAAACCCTCTATGAGATCCTCCGTGAGGCTAGACTTTGGAAGAGAACAGACAACAGGAGTCAGAGGCTTCATTCTCTGGCAGCAACAGCTACTGAAATGTTGAGATGATCCCCAAAGCTGAAGGAAGGGTTACCACCTCTCATGAAAATTAAGGACTATTAAGTGCATGTACCCTGATGGCAGGACCAACACATTTCACAGGAAACCACACAGCACGGACCGGTTAAGAATGTCAACTGTGAGGTCCGAAAGCCTTGGGTTAATATCCTGGCTTTATCGCTTTCTAGCTATTTGACCTTGGGCAGGTGGTTTAGCCTTTTGGAGACAGTTTTCCCAGACACAAAAGGGGAATAATAACAGTAGTTACTTCACGGCATTGCTGAAAGAATTAAATACAATAAAAGTACTTAAACAGGTAAAGTTTAAGCATTAAACACAGCTCCTGGCACACAATAAGGTTCACTGAAAATTGGGTATTATTGATAACACTATTGTAATATTTAAAAATGAATAATAAATTAATAGGCATATTCAAACACATGGTAAAGGGACATTTGGGACTCCAGGATTTTCTGCCATAAAATATGGCCCTAATAATTGAAGCCTAGAAAAATTTGGAAGCAGGAATGACTAATTATCCAATAAAATCCTCCCAAACACCCATAAATAATATTACTTCCTGCTAAACCATTCAGGACATATTCGTTGCACAATGTACCAGAAAACAGATGATTTGATTCTACTTTATATAACCTTGACACCAAATTGATTAAACCTTGGGTGACATTTAAGGAAAATAATTTTTATTTGAGGAGAGTTACTCTTCAGCCATTCTTGCTGATAATAAATGGTCTACAGGGCCATCTGTCTGATGAGACCATTCCTAGTTCACAGCATTAACCCATCCACAGAGTGAAGAATTGAGCCCTCTCATTCTCAAGAGTGGTAAATTATGTCAGTGGTTGTTGTGATTTTTGACTCGTTAAAATAAAAATATTAACTTTAAAAATAATCATCACCTGAGATTGTAATCTCTATCCAGAGGTGGTTTCTATTGAACCCAATTCTCCCAAGGATGCAGTTTTAGGGTGCAGGATCTACAGAAATATTAGTGAACCAGGTATTCCAGAGAATAGGTACATAGACCTCAGTTTGAGGATCGGTGGCTTAGTCCATGGTCAGTTCTGATCCACAGAGTCAGAGGCCAAGGGAATATCCATGAAAATTACAAACAGGCATCTTCGCAAAATTATAGAGACTATAGTGATTAGTTCTGAAACAGTCATATTTAAATTCTGACTGCTCTTTATACAAAATACTGGCTTAAGAAAGCTACACTTCCAATTTCATTCATCTAGTCATCTCATTTTTATCAAGTGCCATATCTGTGTCAGGTATTATGCTAGGCACTGGTGTTGCTGTGCTAAGCTAGACAGGTATAGTACTGTCCTCATTGATCATTTAGTCTATAATGGGAAAAACTGGCATTAAATAAGTAATTAACATTGTGATAAGGGTCAGAAAAAGGTGGTCTTGAGGGGAAATGGGAACCTATATGGCAAGGAGACCTATGTATTAATCAGGGAATTTGTCAAAGAGGAAACTGACATAAGGTTTTAAAGAGAAGTCCAATCTATTTTCAAGGCTATCATTTGAGAGAGAAGAGGGCTGTACTTTAAAAAAGGAGGATTTCGTGGAATCCACCTGGAAGGAGCATATCCACGTAAGCATGCTGGATATGACAAGAACTGATAGATCCAATGACTTTGAAGCAATTCTTGCAGAAGATGGGGTCCCCATTTGGGCAGAGAGGAGTATCCTCACCTGGAGCTCAGCATGATGGACCTGGGCTGCAGCTGTGGCTACCTGGTCCTCCAGATCCGCCAGTTCGGTCTCATCAGTGCCACTATGGATGCAGCGGGCGGCATCTTCCAGCTCATTGAGCTGGCCCTCCAGTCCGTACACAGTGCCTGCTGTCAGGTACACCTGTAGAGAGAGCACAGCCTTGAGCTCAGGTCTGTGGGCCCAGGACTGGTGGGGCCCTTTCAGGGGACCCCCATAATTCAAGGGAGCGAGAGAGAACTGGGCTTAACATTGGGGGAAAAAGATGGAATCACCCATTTATAAAGATTCTTCACACTTAAACAATGGTGTGAGCCACCCCTCCCACAGTCGAGCCACCCCTCCCACAGTCAACCACACCTCTCTTCCCCTCCACCCCAGCTTTCCTGTATTGATAAAATCTTACAAAATACATGGCATCAGCTATGTAAATTGTGAATTTGTCTAGTGACTTACACAAACTAATATCAAGAAGAAACAATGAAAGAAACTCATAATGGGGTTTTTCCCAGTAAAAATTTTGGTTGACATTTAGTAATTCAGAAAAATTCAGAAAACATAAAAGAAGTGAAATTAATTTAAAATAATTACAAATTTTGAGAAAATCATCTCTGATTAATTACTTTCTGCTTGCTTGAAACAGGATAAGGGAATTAGAATGGACCTGAAATTTGTAGTAGGAAAAAGCTTTATTTCTTAGAAAATAGTATAATGTTAAAAGAAACATGTCAAATCTATTTATCTGTCCACTAGGACAGTTTTTTGAGAGCTATTGAAAATTTGAGAGCCAATCAGATAAAGGAAGTAATCTTAAATAAAGGAAACAAATATTTTGACTTAAGAGTTTATAAAGTGATTCCCATAAAAGTGAGTAAACAGGGCTGGTGGTTAACTTAGCTGCTTAGAGCTCAGAGTTATAACACCGAGGTCAAGAGTTCAGATCCCTGTACAGTCCTGTTGCCCCCCCCCCAAAAAAGTGAACAAACAGAAAGTAAAATCATTGGAATAATTCAGACTGCTTCCTTAGCCTAATAATGTGATAAAACAACCCACAACACAGGAATGAGATGTATCTAAAGAAGGTAATTACTTAAAGAGTGGTTCTTAGTTTAATCAACATATATAAAGTTGTAATAAAGTAATCACCGCAATTTAAAGTTGATATGAATGAAACACATGGCTGGGACTTTAACAGTTCTTTTCACCTGAGTTAAAAATATAACATGCGCATCTTTTGCATGGAGTGATACTAAGTGCTGGTGAGGGGAAGGACCCTGAAACGTTCCTTCTCTGTTGATTACCTGGCACATTCACTCATCCACGTTAAAATGGCATTTTTAAAAAGCATTACAAAGTGCAGCAAAGGCAGGTGCAGGTCTGAGGAAAGCAAATTTGACTGTGCGGCATCACCAGGCATAACTAGCTGGGCCATGGGCGCTTCCAGCTGTGGCTGGCCCAGGGATGTCACATCAAGTGATCCAATAGTCATATAGGGGCCATGGATCAAATGCCCGCTGCCTACTGCCATATTTCAGTTTTCCTTTTGCTTTACTTTCTTTACCATATGCTGAGCATTAGAGAAATGTTGTTTCTAAAAGATCTTCACAATTTAATTATAGCCAGTTATTCTTTGTTTTCAAATCAAGAAATAGTTCTTAATCATTTATCACATGAGAGAAATGAAGACTATTTCAAAGGTATTGGAGTACAGAAATTATTCAAAATATATATCTCAACATTTTTGAAGTTGAAAAATTCCCTTCAGAGGGGAAGAAAATTAAGGGGAAAGAGAGAAGAAAGAAGCCAGGGCATTTTGGAGTTTATTATACTTTTTTATACTTTCCCCTATCCAAATTAAAAAAAAAAAAAGGTACATTTATTTTAATAAGATAATTAAAAATATAAATTTACAGTTTTGCACAATGAAACAAAATTTGGAATTACTATTTAAAGGAAATCAATAATTTAATTGTGGCAATGGTTATGTCAATAATTTGACATAACTTTGGTCTTGGAATCTTGATTTTACCAGAAACAAACAAAACTCAATGTTGTCGGGGCTGGCCCGTGGCTCACTTGGGAGAGTGCGGTGCTGATAACACCAAGGCCACGGGTTCGGATCCCTATATAGCGATCGCCGGTTAGCTCACTGGGTGAGCGTGGTGCTGACAACACCAAGTCAAGGGTTAAGATCCCCTTACCGGTCATCTTTTTTAAAAAAAGCAAATAAACAAAACCCCCCACCCCCAAAAACCTCAATGTTGTCGCACCCTAAGACTGCATCAACCTAATTGCTCTTTATGTCTTCAACACGGTCATCTACTCAATGTTCCTTAATTTTTTTTTTCCAAGACAAGGCAATATGAAAAGGCTCTAAGCCCTCAGAAAGGCCAGAATGTTCAATTTTTACTTTGTGTTGCCTAAAAGCCATTTGCCTGGCACCAGGGGGAAGGGAAGATTCAGTGATTTGGAACTGACACCAGCTGAACAGGAATTTATAGCCAAAGTGATGGCACCTAAAAGTTGGGAGGACGAGGAGGGTGGTGGTGACGACGACGATGATGATATGTCTTCATTGAGCTGGAGGATGACTGACTTAATGCTCATGGCAACCCTTCCGGTAAGTACTATTATAATCACTGTGATAAAGATGAGAAGGTTCAGTGACTTTCCCAGGTCTTCACAACTGGGAAATAGTAGAGTCTGGAAGTGAGCTTGGGAGAGTGGACACTAGATCTGTGCCTCCATCCTCCCTGCCCTATGATGCTGTGATAGTTGGGATGTTATGACGTCTTACATTCCCAACTTTAACATAAAGGTACAATAGTTATTGTGGTTATAGATGAATATAACACTGGCTTTGTTGGTAGTTTGAAATAACAAAAATTAACATGCTATATGGTAAAAATGTTTTTCTAGCCTTAAAAAATAATCCATTTGAAAAATGTTCGCCTGGAATTGCTTGCTAAGTGAGGTTCAGTTTTGGTTCCATGTCTGAGTCACCTATGTCCTCTTCAAGCTCTAGCCACTGGGACCCCATTGACTGGCTCCTGGTTCAACAACCTTTCTCAAAGTGGTTCAGGAGATGAGAATAGGTGTTTCATTAAGGAAGGAGTTTGAGATCAAACACCCTGGGATAAAGAGCATTAAACTGATTTCTTTACTGCAGGACTTTTCAGAGTCTTTAATGTGTTAATATGTATCCTAATTTTACTGGGAAAAATTTGCAAATTTCCCCCACTTATTTGACCTTAGAGCACATTGTTGGACTTGGCTTCCATGAAATATACTTTAGGGGACTAAGATTGGACAATAACTGATAGCATTTCTTTTCCTGCCCTCTGAAGGCAGAGAACCACCTGAGTAACCATGACCACCTCTACAAATTCCAGTGCCACATTCTCTCTGGTGCTGTGGGGGTTGTATGACAGTCTTGAGAAGGTGGACTGACATCCTCTGCTTGGTCTTGGATCTGGTGGCAGAGCTGGGCTCCCCATGGGGCAGTCCTGCTGTGTTTGCTACCACTGGTTGTATGGGGAAGAGCCAAAAGAGAAGTTGGGATTGCCCTCCACTGCCTCTGTGGCTGGGGATTAAGGGGTACCCCAAGCTGCTTCTGTCATTTAACAAAGATGAGAATGAGGCAGGTCCTCAGATGGGGGGTGGAAGAGAGAGCTAACTCATGATGTCCACTCCCAACCCTGTACAAATCCACAGGGTGGCCCTTCCTCCTATTCACACCATGGGTCTGAGAATGGTGGTTAGTTGTTCTCTGTTGACTCCCTTGATCCATTTTCTACACTTCTCTGTCCTGCTCTGTTCCCTGGGAAGATGACCTATATGAACTTCATTCCCTGGCTGGCTGGTATAGGTTTGACCACTGGGAGAAACCAGCAGGAGACTAAAAGCAGAAGAAAGAAGTTAAGAGTGTTTTTTTCTCTACTCTCTCCCTGTGTGGACATCAGGGTTCTGGTCACAGCTCTACGCCTGTGGCTAGAGCTCCCACTACGGGGACCTCTTCCAGGCACTAGTTCTCCTGGGCTCTGGTTATCCTGCCTAGGGGTGGTAACAACTTCCTCCTATACTGTGTTCTCAGGGCCCTATAGCATCCCTTAACCTTGCCCACACCTCAGTTAATAGTCCCTTCATGAAACTCCTCTCTCTGCCAGACCCCAACAGGTGCAACAGAACTCTTCACAGCAAGAATTTAAAATACCCAGAGATCAAGGCATCCAGCCCAAGGACCTGAACCCACATAGTGTGGCTGTGGATGCTGGGATTAGCCTGAGATTGCTCCTGCCTTTAGGAAAGACAAGAGTTGATTTCATAGTGTTAACACTGGACAGCAGGTGAGAAGAGTGTCAAAGCCAAGAGACTAAGAGAATTCTAAAATTCCCATGCCCTCCTCTAATTAAGTTAGTGTGGCTGTGGATGCTGGGATTAGCCTGAGATTGCTCCTGCCTTTAGGAAAGACAAGAGCTGATTTCATAGTGTTAACACTGGACAGCAGGTGAGAAGAGTGTCAAAGCCAAGAGACTAAGAGAATTCTAAAATTCCCATGCCCTCCTCTAATTTAACAGGGTTAACAGGCAGTTTATGAAAACAGGAGATTGGATATATTCATGTAATATTTCTTTGTTTTATCCTATGTAGCTTTGAAACCTTCAGAAGGATTTTTAAAGGTGAACATTCTTAACCAAGTGCTCTCTTTGGTATCAGAGTCCTGGTCTCTGCAGCCAATGTTCAGAGGTGAGAATAGTGCCACTGTTTCTATTTCTGACAGTCCCTGGGTTCCCAGCACAAAGGAGATGGCAGCTGAGGAATGAAGGTGCGCTCTTTATTATACGGACTGAAAAAACCCTGGCTTAAGTCAGCTGCGCCCAGAGGCCAGTCTAAGAACCAGCCCTGGCCTTCTCCCGCTGCTCGACTGAATTCCATCCTGGAAACAGCAGAGCGAAGAGTCACAACCATGGCTCTGTGATCTGGTGAATTAAAGAGACGAAGAAAAGAATCATCCTGTTTCTGACTCAAAAACCCATAGAATTCAAAGAAACAAAGATGGAGTTTCTTCTGAGGTGAAATTTGAAAAGGTGGAGGCGGGGAGGAAGGGAAGGAGGCAGAAGAAGGCAGTTAACTCTTTGGGAACA